ATATGCTCAGTTATCTATCGGAAGGAACATTGAGTGTCACCTACTCTAACTATGTCTGTAGGAAAACCAGTAGCTGATGCTCCTACCAAGTTCATCCACTTGGTATGTTGAGGTGAAATAAAAAGAATATTATTTTTTTACAGGAAGGATGTGGAAAGGATAATTATTAAGGCATATTAAGCTATTAGGAAAAACATTGTGTTCCCATGATAACAATATTTGTCATGATAGAGGAAATAGATGGAAAAGTCCCTTGAGAAATCTCAACAATGAGCAGCACAAGAGAACCAGTGTAATGTATGGATGGCAAAACAACAAAGCTAAAGAAATGCACACGACCATCTGACATTAACTGAGAAATCACGAGTTCAAGGACTTTGTTCTAGAAGAATCAGGTTTTCATAGGAAGATGAAGAGATATTTACTTATCCTTTGTGCAATATGAATAAAGAATATAAGAATATAATATTTTCTACGGTCATATGTGCAAATGATGATTATGTGAGTACAGAAAGGAATGAAAAACCTATTCAATCAAGAGTAAATATTATTTTGAAAACCAGTAATAAGGAAATTACCTGTTTTAAGGAGGGCTGGGGTATTAAAGGAGGAAACAGTTAGGTGCCATACTCTCCTCCCTTCCCCCTTTCATTATCTTAATTAATTTAGAAGATGTCAATCTATGCACTATCATAAAGAGTCATGCTGTCTTCTCAGTATAAATTATTGGCTACTTGGCACTCCAGCTGTTTCGTCTAACTGCTTCCCCATGCCCTAACCAGATGCACATCTTCAATGTTTTTTGATTCTCTAACATCTGCCTATATAGCTATTGCTATGTTAACATAAGCTGCCTATAATAACACATATTCAGCTACTGCCTACATTCTTTTCTTTTCCTTAGCTACCATACATTGTTTTCTGATTTATCCTATAGTAAATACTACAAGTTAACCTTGGCTTTTGTAGTCCTAAACAGTAACTTTACAGCAGTTTAGTTTAAAACATTTAATGAAGCCTGACGTCACTCTTCCTACCTTTGTAGACGAAATGTACGCCTACCAATATGATGGCATCAACTCAAATTGGGGAGAGGAGAAGAAAAGGAGGCTGTTGAGGATTACAGCATAATTAAATACAGAGGAGCACTAACTAATCTTGGCTTTTTCCTCTTCCTTTTCAGCAGCAGTTTCATTAGTTGGTGGTAGTATAACAATACACCAGTGACAGTGTTTGTTCCACGTACAGGTGGCATACGCACATTTTTAGTGAAACAATCCCTACACAGTTGTACGTTTCCAACACCTTTGTGAAACTGGCACCCTATTTTGGGAAGAGGTTTCTGCTCACTCTGGTTAACAGTAGTGGTCCAAAGACACATTACTGGGTTGCAAGTGGTATAAGCTGGTATTAAGGGGACGGAGCTGACAACCACAGTAGGATACGGGATGACCATCGCTTCTGAGCCAGTCACTCAAGCAGAATACAGCAGGACTGGACAACCACACCCATGGGTCTTAGGGCATCTTTTAAGATGTTTTCAGCTAACAGGGCTGGCAGAACCATCTAACATCTTTAATGAATACTAAAATCAATAGATGCACCCACCCTTACTTTTTCCTTTTCCAAAGTGGCTAGTGCTATTTAGGTGCGAAGAACCAAATGTTCAGTTAAAAATTTCATAAGCCACAGGTTCATTAAGATGCTGCAGGTCCTTCTGGTTAGGCTAACAGCTACAAAAGTCTAAACGCTACTTCTCCAGAGCTTAACAAGCTCTTTACCAAACCTAGGGGAAACCTATCCCTACACACACTACCAACTGATCTGTGGCTTCTTCTTCCTCTTCATTTCTATTCTACTCTCTTATTAGGCTGCAGTCAATTAGCAGCAGAGAGCTGCGAGGTTATATTGCCAATCTGAAGATCCATCTCTATATGTTCTGTCACACCCTACACAGTTAATTAGCACTGGCTGCTTCTGCCATTTTCAGCAAAACTTAGGATCCAGCTGCATATTGTTTTTTGCTCAAGACACAAGGGTCCCCTACGACTGAGCTGTTGCAAGACTCCCTCTGGTCAGCCACCTGCCGCATCCCTTGATAATTAATGTCCCAGACCTGTTCCAGAGCAATTTGACAAGGTAAATTGGGACAGCCACTGTCCACAGGTTCAGAAGAAGGCAAGGTCTTCCACACCTTGTCAGGGTCTTGGGCTTCTTGGCAGGACTACACCTTTAACCGCTGCAGCTTCCGTATACATCTCCAGTTTCAGCCACGAGCAGGGGAGATCTTTCCACTGGGTCAAGCAGCAAAAGAGTAAAATTCTTCACAGAATCCTCGTGGATGCATCTTCCCTGCCCCCCCCCCCCCCCCCCCTCCCCCCCCCACCTGCCGATGGCTTGGGGCCTGTAAGGCAGAAGCGGTCTCCTCAAGCACTTGGCAGCACTTGGCGTTCCTCTCTAAAGCGCAGAGACTAAACTCAGGAACTGCAGAGCGCCCTGTCACTCCTGAGGATTGTCACAAAGCCGGAGGGTGGAACGTATATAACCCATGCAGGTCTGGGTGTCTCACGGGGACCCTCCAGTGTATCTGCTGCTCTTCGCTCTACGTACTACAGATGGGAACAGCAATATCCATCACGTGTTGCTGCCAGTGACAGGCTTGCACCTCAGCCCATACGTACACGCTTGAATCAGCTTGTTCTTTAAGGCAGAAGGGGACCTACTTCAAAAACCTTAAAAACCCTCCCAAACTTAAGTATTTCCACTGCTGGCAATAATTACTGCAGACACTGGACACATCAGAGTCCCTGAAACCCTGCGATAGAACCTCCTTCTACTGAGAAGTTGAGGCAATTTGCTTGCTCTCATCTGCCAAGGTTGGCTTGCTTTTTTCTGCTTGTCTGCTCCCTCCAGAGGCCAAGCACGCACAGGCATTTTGCCGATGATCTTTCTCAACTGGGAATAAAATTCATTAACTTAATCATAAAGAAGACTAGGGCTGATTAAGGAACAGAAATGCCAGTGACTGCAGAAGAGACTCCTGCACCATCACAGCCTAAAGACACAAATACGAGCTCCTCTCTTTTACAAGAGGGAAGAATCAGTGCCTACAAAATACAGTAAAAGTACTTCAAAAGAGAGTTTGGTGTTAGGCAAGTGGTGCAGTAATAGGCCCCTTAACTGCTCCTGACTCTCTTCAAGCTTCTGATAAAGCTTTCCTTTCTTGAGCTGACAGCAAACCATCACCCTCAGTCATCAGCTCCTTCACATTGATGGACATCCCTCAGATTACAGAGCAATCATTGCGCCAGCCTAACCTCTACCAGCCTGTATACTGTACAGCAGTTTAAGTGCACATATATATGCATGGCACTAGAACATACTACCACATATATGCATACTAGCACATATAGTGCACAGTCATATGATACAACCTATCAGTAGTAACCAGTAAATGGCACAGAGCTCAATGATTATACGTTACTGGCTCTTCCTCCTCTTGCGTAAGGAGAGGTTTTTGTTTGTTTTTAAACCATATACTTTTTTTCAATTAGTGTATTTGTATCTGCTAAGGATTAGAATGGAAGAGAATTAAGGCTGCCCAACCAAATGCACAGCTGATGCTATTAGAAGGTGAAGGGACAAAGAAGATTTGGAACAATGAACAAAAATCATGTTTCTAAGTTTTAATCACAGAGAAGACCTCAAAGTGGGAAACATCTTAGAGAATGCAAAGTTTACACTTTAACTGCAGGAAATTAATTTTTGAGTCCCTACTTTCAATTTCACGCTAAAGGTAAAAAGCCAGCAGCAGTTCCCAAAGTTAAATAAAAATTATTAAAAATTTATCTAGAAAATACTCGTACAGACGGAGTACCTTTCATGGCTTTACAGCCAGCAATCCTGCAATCCTCTACCTGGTAGCTGCTGCTCTACCGCTGTCCTTGGCATGGAGACACTGAAAAGAAGACTACTCATGCAAGCTGGGTCCCTCCAAAAAAGGAGAGAAGCAACAGACAGTATAAAGCTGCCTAGATTGGGCTATGAAAGCTTTAGCAGTAGACACAGAAACAAGATGAGGAAGTGTATTCAAGGAAGGCAACGCCGTCTAGCATTAAGTAGAAACCAGATGGTCTTGAGCTAGAGCATTGATAAGAAATTAACAGCTAAATAGGAAATTTCCTTAAAAACTCTGCAGAGTTTAGGCTGAGCCAGACATGAGCCTGGGAGACATACAGTTTGGAAGGAACCTCAGGGTAAACCATAACCAGTTTGGCCAGGAAAACAGTTCCATCTTTGGCCCACAGCTGAAGTCTCTGTTATACTGGAGAACTCGGCACTGTTGCTCCTTACAACAGCAGGGTATTCATTTACGTTTCTCCTTACCACTGACCATGCACTTTACATTTTTCCCTCATGTACAAGATTGGTTTTGCCAAGTATAATTTCCATAATACCTGTATCTTCGGTAAGAATTCATTGTAATTTAATCACTAGCCTCTCTGCTAGCACAACTGAAAGAACAGACACCTTCTGCACTTGGATCTCAAGGTCAGTTTTGAGAGCTTTTCACCATTTTCAGAGCTGCTCATAGTCTGCTTAATACACTGAGGAAACCAATGAGCTAGGGAATGGTTTATAAACCTTATCCTGAAACATTACAGCATTTCTGTTGCTTCACAATTGAAACTTATAGGCATACAAAGACAGTAAATTCATATACTTTAAGATCAGTGGAGTAAAAACGCTGTGTTGGTAGTATCTTTTCCCGATATTTAGCCAGTTTTTACAGCAAATATTTAAAACCAATGGAAGAATTGGTTATAATACTTAATATGAAGAAAACGTTATCCTTAGAATAAGATACCAGATCCACATAAGGAAAATAGACACCATAATGAAAGAAAAATTTAGACACAAGGCATTTTCGCAAAAGCTCTGAAAGTTCAAATCTAGCACAGAACTCCTTAAAAATCATGTAAAGCAATGAGGCCACTCCATATTTAAAGCCATTTTGTTTTTATCTATTGGGGTAGTCACTTTACATCATACCAAAAAGACTGTATAACGAATACAAGTGTCAAGAATCAGATTTTTATGGCACAGAAGGAAGTTTTCCATTAACCTGCTTTCAGAGTTTGTTAAATACAGAATTGAAGACAAAGAAACTAAGGCTACCACAAAATCATATTTGCGTGATGATGTTAGTCTTTATTCGGCTTCTTAACTGACTCCTTCAGTCTGAAGGTGGAGCAGAATCCTTCCACTAGTTTGTTTCAGTGATTTATTCTGGATGAAAAGATTCTTTTCCTACGTTTGACACAAATTTATTTTCTCATTTATATTGTTATTCAAAGTTTACATAAGCTTTAACGTTGTACCTTACAATGTATGGAATTTAAGATTAAAATAAAAATCTACTCTTAACATAACCTTTTCTGTAATGTAAAAATAGTCTACATGTTTAATGTATCAAGAATGTTAAGCACTCACTTTGGGGAAAAACTATTTTACGTATTTTTCAGTACAAACCCAACTGGTAATGTTTTGTATTAATGTATCCCTGTTAAGTTGGGTGCCACCCAGTGTTCATCTTCTGCAACTACAGCGTGACTACTGTACTTACAACACAGAAGAGCTGTGCATACAAGACAGTTTTCAACAACTGCAAATTTGAGATGCTGCTTACTTTTTATCTTTACTTCTCCCCTACCCCTCCGCTGTGGCAAATTTACACCTTTGAAATAGTGAGTGTTTTTAATTATCAAAATCAGTATAAAAATAGCAGCATGCTACTAGACATGAAAAGCAGATTCATCATGCATTATGAATTTAAATGCAGATTCCTGCCTTCCTTTTATATTATCAAAATCTTTTTAAAGTTAACATCAAGGCAAGGGGTATAAGGACAGACACTGCATAGTATGATTTGATACTAATCTGAACTGGGTATTTGTATTTAATCAAAATTCATGATAATTACAGGGTAAATAATTTTTATTTCAAAATACAAGTTTAACTGGAATTGTAGTGATGAAAGCAGAAGAGGGAAAAATGCAGTCTTTTACAGCCCGTGTCACTGTATCTCACTTACATCCAGAGGTAAAAGCTCTAATTGGTGAAGAGACAAAATATTTGTGGCGTTTCATTGAACCCTTGTGATAATCCAGCATTATCCATTTCTAAAGAAATATAAATACTTTAAAACAAACATTGAAAATAAATCCTTTTGATGTAACAAACTACACTCTTTACTGAGAATTTTCAGTCTTCTTAAAAGAAAGGGACTTCACCCAAAAAATAATCAAAATATCAATGTAGAACAATCCTTGGAGGAAAAAAGTCGGAATGTAAACCTCTGCTCCAAATTAGATCTGAAAAGCAAAAACACCACACCAGGTATTTAATTCACATGCATTTTTCATCAAGCAACTGTCTTTAAGCTATTTTTACAGTTCAACAGGAGACTTCCTGAACTCAGTACAGTACTATGTTTGCCTCAGCTCGTAGCCCGTTTTCGTTACACATGAACAATTACTCTCCTTTTATGCCCCGCCCCCCGTTACGATAGTATAGTTACGCAGGTGAGCAATTCTGCCAATAGAATTACGCATAAGTAGTACAGACATAAATTAGCCCATGCTTCTCAAAAATAAAAACAAAACCAAGTTTAAGGGTAACTTCCCTAAGTAGTGACTATCCAAATTAATTTGGTGGCAAAACAAACAGTTTCCTAACCATCCTTCTGACATAACCAACAAAGGAAAAGTTCCACCAAGTCTGTCATGTTAACTATGACCTTGGAAGCCACACTTCATTCTAGGTAGACTAAGATGATCCTCTGCGAGGTTATTCACATTTTATCTCCTTATATCTCTTCCTTTCTTAAAGCATGATATTCATATTATACTGCAAAGCTGACAGAAGCTTAAAAACAGCCATAGCTGCTCACTTAAATACATTATCCCACACAAAGATCCATTAGTTTGCAAATTCAATTATTTCAATATTCCTACAGCTGCTTCTCACTTCGACATCTTACAATAACTTTACTGTTAAAAGCATGAGGTACTAGAAAGTGCTTCTAGCTTCAGTAAGCTGTATCTTCAGCAAGCTCAACCACTGACAGGTCCAAAGTCTGACAAAAAATTCAAGATTTTGGTATTTTTAAAATACTTGATCTAATGCACCACATATCAAGAACCTCAAAAAAGTCAAAAGCATGTAAGCATTTGAAGAGCATTAACCATATTACCAACTCTGAGAGAGAGAGAGAACTAAAAAGATGAAGAATTAAAACATGATAATATACTTAGAACAGTCTATCCAATTAGGTTAACTCACTGGCTCAGGAAGTTTTTACTTATCCCCTCAGCCAGTTGAACCTGCACACATTCATCTGTCAACTGCAAAATGAACCGCATCACCTCAGAAAACACTTCACAGCAGATTCTACTTCTGCAATTTGCTATATAACTTGAATTATAACAATTTTACTACTACAATTTAAGAGTGTGCATGGTCAGTTACTACAGCTTAGTGATAAGCAGTAACACAACTGATTGTGACAATCTGTAAATTCAGGATTATGGTTAACTTTAGTAACTACTAAGATGCAGCTTTTTATGATTTTTATGTAAACAAAATTGGAAACTTACAAGTCTTTTTTTAAAAAACACAAATCCCTCAATTACTTCTGTAGTAATTATTAGATAGTGAGGTTGTTAAAACTACAGAGGAATCAGAAAGGTGAAACCCACACGTGTTGATGCAATTCGCCAAAACACCCGCACAAGCTGTCACCCGTTCCAGCAGTTGGTGTCCATCAGCATCAGCAGTTTATGGCTCCCCCTGCCGCAACTAAGCTGGCCACAGCTGTCCTATGTGGCACAGGAGCTGATCCACCAACCAGTCTTTGTGCCTGCTCCCTGAGAGGTCTTGCTAGCCTACTGTGCAGGGGATGCAAAGAAATCCTACTAGTCTGCTAAACCTTCCTGTATCATATACTTTGCTTTCCATCATGAGCTTGTTGTAAGGAGCTTGCACTTCAGAGAGCAGTGCTGAGGGCTCCATTGAGTTCCTTCAACATGAACACAGCCAGCTACATCCATGTAGGTAGTGGCTGACTCACGTAACTGCTACTTCTCATGTGCACACACACATACATGTACATACACACAATCATTTGCGTGGATGCTGCTACGTGACTCTAGGCGTTTGGGGTCAAACGACTTTGATCTTCTTTTAGGCACCTTAAGGATAATGAGAAGACTGTTCTCCGTGTACATTTGAATAGTATGACACTACGCATATGATTTGCTTAGAGGTCAACTAGAGGACGACTGTAGGACAGAAGAGGGAACAGAAAGCTGGCATGCATATGTCCACACCACTTTCTGAAGTAGTTCCTGACAAGGTGAGCTATTCTGAACATCAGTGTATTATTTTACTTGCTCTAAAACAATGGAAAAACAGCATATTGCCAAAGATGACAGTTTCAAGCACGATACAAAATATCTATTTACTACTTACGTCATCAATATCTTCATCATCATCTCCAATATCATCAAACTGGATTTCATCATCATCTCCAGGACCAAATGTGTCTGTTTCGTTGATTTTAGCTAAAAAGGAATTTAGAGAAGTTAAGGAGTGCACTTATACCAAGTCAACATAGATTGAATATTCTTGTCAAATATGTACTTCCAATTTGAAGTGAAAAAGATTACCATGTTCTGGAAGCTCCCCATATGCTTTCAGACTTCTGGCTTCATCTGCATTGTACTTTAGAATAACATCGGCCTTGTTATCCTAAATAAGAATTTATTAGAATTTATTAGCAATCTATGAAGGAAAAAACTCCTTATTAACTCTGACAAACTAGTAACACCTGTATTATTTATAGAATATCTTACTCCTCCTTCCACTCCAGTTCCTTTAAATTTGAAGTAAAAAAATGCTCATTTGTAGAATATCTTTGTTTCTTCTGGGTGATAAAACTTAATTTTCTCCTATTATAAGTCATATGAAAAGTTCAGTTTTGTGCCTTTGAAATTAATCTTTCTTTAGAGAAGACACATAGTGAGGTATTTGGTGGTCAGTCAAAGTGTCAAAATTTCCTAGTTTTGAATAGTTTAATATATACAGTAAATGGCAGTATCTGAAATGTTTTACAACTCTGCAAGGCACATTTCAGAAGCAGACTCTATCTTTGAACAACTGATGACACGACACTAACATCCATGAAAAGCATTTACCTAATGAAAATCCGACTACTGTTTTTCATTAACCTTTACCTTAGGTAAAATTATGCTGCTCCATTTTCTGAAATTTCAGTAGAAACTAATCACAGATCAATTGGTCTCTTGAGGTAAAAGCCTAAACATCATGGCTCCAAAATTCTGATTACCACAATAAAATATTTGGTGCTTAGCTCAGTCTCCCTGATACCACAGGACCCAAGCATCAAACAGCTACACCTGGAAAAAAAGTGTCAGGTGTGATCCAATAAGCACCTTCACTCACAAAGTCACAGGGTGCAATTTAGAAGAACAAGTTGAACCAGGATTTGTCATCTACTCATGACAATCTTTCTGTAATAGAAGGAAACTAAAAATCATGATTTAGCATAACTAAATACAAATTCAAAGTTAGATGGGAATTTCCTCACAATACCTGCTGCAATTTAACATTAAAGCTGTTTGTAAGATATTCTTAAGTGGTAAATTACACTGATTTTTTACCTGGTAGTCTCTTAAGCCAACCAATATAATATCAGATGTATTTATCCAAACCTGAAAGAGAAAACCTATATTATATTGCAGAAATTCAACTCTTGTTGTATAACACAAGAGTCAGACAGCACATTTAGGTTTACTGAAAGACATGAAGTATTTCACTACAGCCACCATTTTCACTTTCTAAGCAGTAAACTGGAAATATTCAATTTCAGATTTTAACAGCAAAACCAAGGTCATAAATACTCGTAGATATATTATTTCACATGTTAGAGTTATTACCATTATTATTTATTATTTAAGTCAATCTTTTTTGAAGAGCTTCTAGCCAACAATGTGGTTATCAAGTCATAACTTCTGACAAAACAGAAACAATACATCAAGCCACCACCCTGTGAACTGAGCTCCACAAGGGCAAAAATGAGAAAAGAAACCAACCTGATGAAGGGGGTGATGGACAAGCACAGTGAAGAGCACAAGAAAATGAATTGAGTTGTTTCTAGTAACTGACTATGCTAACCAGTCAAGCCAAAGCCAGAAGCCTGCAAAACAGGACATGCTAATTTAAACACACAAGATAGTTCTATCCCACATCAGCTTGATTTTTTTGGAGGTGAAATACACTTCAGTTGAGATTTTCTTTCTTTTAGACATGAGGAATAGCTGAGTGATGCTTTCTGTGGCAAGAAATTAACTCTGCAGCACCTAGCACTTATCTGTGCACATTCTCCATTACCTTCAACAGTTTATTGCCGTGTATTGCAGGCACCTAGCAGGGCTCACACTGATACCAAGATACGGGCATTCACTGGTGTCCAAAAACAGAGAGGTGGAACAATCCAGAATAAACACAGTGAACGTCTGTTTTTATTGGGAACAGACTATCTGAGAGGACCTCCTCTGTACCATACACCAGCAAAGGTTAGAAAGCTGCAAGTCTGACAAGGGCAAGAGGGGACACCATCCAAAGATGGCAAATTTAAGAATGCAAACACGTACACCTGACTTCCCTGAAGGTACAAGCTTTTGCAGTCAGCTTTGCGCAAAGTTTTTTGGGAACTGATGAAGCGGACAATGAAATGATGGCATCTGAGGTGCCTGCGGGAAGCTGTAAAGAAACCTTCCCAAACCTCCCTTATTGAGCTATTCTCAGACAAGCCACCCAGCGAGAAGATGATAATTATTCAGTTCTTCCCCAGATCAAACTAAGCAGGGTATTAGTTTCTTCCCACTGTTTCTTAGTGGTTTCAAGATACAGCATACAAAAAAGTTGGCTTTGGACAACCCTTTTACACCTTTATTTTCCTATGCTGAGTGTCAATCTTCATGTTAATAGAAGTTCTGCTAAGCTAAGAACTGATCTAGTCTCAGATATAACATGCTGATTTTCCAAATAGTCATCAAGTTCCCCATCTATAATTAGGGAGCTTTTTAATATTTCATATATATAAGTTTCTAGAATATGAAGAATTAGTATTTCATAAGCAGCCAAAAAAATCTCCCCTGAAATATCCACATTGACAGGCAGCCCTTCAACTACGAGCTTCACTCAAAAGCCAAAGACTGCCTATTTTTGTGCTGGCAACATAAACAAAAGAACAAACTAGTTTACTATACAAAAAGAAGTTTAAGATATTTTTAAGGAAGGTACATAAGTAATTTTTAATATAATTTTATATTAAAT